TGATAGGAATCACGTGAAGAGCCGCATGGTATAGTAGTACGAGTTATGAGGGATACCAACATGCGGTATATAAGCACATGGTGTAATGTCTTCGTGGTCCTAGCGTGATTACCCGAGTTAACTCCAACAAGACTATTTTCGAATCACCACTACAAAAATCCTACAAAAAACTTTTGCACTGACTTACTACTTATATAAAGTTTGATCTCTTAATAAAAGATTTTTATTAGTATCTTACAAGTTTACTTTTACTTAAACTTATAAATAATAAGTAAATGTTATTTTTTTTTTATTGTGCTCAGACCTTCTTTTTACTACCCTTAACTACTAATTTTTGTAACCGTTAATAATTTTGATACTCCAAACTGATGATAAAGAAAAAATACAGTTGGAAATTTTATAAGCAAATGGAAGAGGCAAAAATATTTTTTAAATTGTCTCATTACCGCGTGCATAAATATTAAACTTTACCGGGAAAAAACCATTAATAATAAGAAATTTTAAAGAAAAAGTACAAATTTCGGTTTGAGATACGTCCTGGGCTTTGACAACTTCTTACATTTTTAAAGCAAAAATCGTACTATAAAAAAAGATAGTATCTGGTTAAATGCTAAAATTAATTATAGAAAAATAATAATTTCGAGAACTATAAATTATTCCATATTTAGTCCTTTAGAGCCGTTTGTGTGAAGTATATTTATATACCCTTCCGTACTAATCTACAAAGTTTTATGATCAAACTTAAAAAGTATAGGAGAATTAAATGAGCGCACGCACTGATATAAAGGTTTTTTAGGAAAATCCTTTTTTTATAAACAAAAAGTTTGCATTTTCTCTATTTTAATACATAATAAAAAGGTTAACAATAATAATTTATTTCTAGTTAATTGATTGTAATATATATATGGCTCTCTACCAGCGTAACAACGGTGGCCTTAGCCTTCGCACTGATAATGTTGTTAAGCTAGTCAAGTTATTGAACCATTCAATTAAATAAGTTTTTCTACAACCTTACAATTATCTTGAATAGCGTAAGTATTTAGAAAACTTTTCTATACTGCAATAAAACCATCTTTTTTGCAGCCTTTTAACATGAAATTTAGCCTCGGCCTTTTTCCCTGATAAATTGTATTTTTTGAAAATGTATGATTGTTTTAGACGCTGTATTTCTTACATGGTAAATAAGTCTATTTCATCACATTCATATTTTATATAGTAATGAATCTTGTTAAACTTTTGTATACTAACAATAAGCTCTGCAAAAATGTTCTAATAATTGCTTTGATAAACAATTAAATTTTGAAAAAAGGTAAAATGTGATATAATTTATAAGCTTGTGACTGAAAAGTTTAAGAAAATTGTATGGTACACCGGAGTGCTATACTAAATTATGTTTGTTTAGTATGTTGTTACTCAAGTCTGCGTGGAATTTCTTACTCATTCATAATTGAAGCACACTCGCTCATCAACGTTTTTATATTAAAAAGATTTGCGGTATTTTAGAAGCAGTCTCTACAAATATGAGAAGAATTTCTCACTTTTTCCAATTAAAATAAATATAATTATTTTATATTTATAATGGCCACAAGCGCCAAACAACCAGTTCCAAAGTATATTTGTTTATATTATGTTTATTTATTTATTACTGGAATACCACAGTTGAGATGGATAGCGTACTATTATTGATTAATATTTATTAATTTAATATACTTTATTATGCTAAAGTGCTAGATCCACGACTGAGCTTAATAACATTCTTAATATGTTATGTAATGTTTTTAAACTTTAGCTCGAACTTGTAAAAGTTAAGTTTAATAACAGATTAAGCAGGCCCCGTGCCGCCGGTATCAGTAAATAATTATAATTTGACTCTAAACTTAAAATCGTTTTGCTCATCTAAAGGAACTAGTATACTAAAATTTCGAATACTGCCGACCAGTGAACTTCGATATCTCAGCCAATGAGCTCCCTTGTTTTGTAATTATTTTAATCAAATGTTTTTTTGGGTTTACAAGAAATAATAATTTTCATCCGTTCATCTGGTTTGCTGTAGCCATTCTATATTTGAAATCTTTAATTTTATTTTTGTGTTTTAGTTTGCGTTATATTCGACTTAAATTTTTATTAATATCACAATCCATATGAAAGTATTCCTTTCCAGTTCCATATATGGTAACCCTTATTCGGTGTAGGCAAATTAGTTATAAATGGGTTGTTACTTACACAGCCGCCCTATAAATAAAAATTATTTCACAAGTACAAAAAACGGTTATAATACCGCTCTAAAAACTCTAAAAGTACCACAATAGCTTTATTTGAGACCCGACTGACGCTATTATCCAGTCTCATAATTTATTACTAAAGTGATAAAAAACGGAATTTTAACGACGAAGTGGCAAATGATGCCAGTGGTATGAAATATTTAATTAATAAGCGCTGTAAACTGTTATAACTCTTAGTTAAAAGAAATTAAAAATATTTTAAAATTGTTAATGTCTTAAAAACTTTTAATTTCTATAAAATATTTACATAGAAATTATAATACTACCACTCAGAAGAAAGTCCTTGCAATTCCGCACTACATGTTACTCCCAAAACTCTAAAGAGGAGCTCTTAGCTCTAACTCCACCGCTAGTTATGAAGGGAATTGCTTCGTATCCTTGAACCCAAATAGACTAAGTGTAGTGTGTTAATACCATACACTTATCATGGGCAAAAAAATAAATTATATTAGCAAAAATCCACCTTCAGCAGCTAAAGCTACTCTGACTTAAAACGCTTTTTTTTATTTTGTTTATAAGAAATTATGTTATTCCAACACCCTGGAACGGGGGGACTTGTAAACTTCTTCCGTTAGCCATCTCTAGCAGCTAGTACACTACAAAATTGAAGCCACGAACCAACTGGAATCACTAATGGTTCATGATGGTTTTGATATTATTGACATTAATATCATACCCAATAAAAAAGTATAACGACCATATGGAGACTGCACATAAAAACTAATAACCAATATAAAGCTAGACCCACAGCAAGAGCGTTTCAACAAATACCTAACGTTAATTATAAAAAATTTTTTTCTTCTGTCCTCTAAAAGTCTCTTTTCGTTTACTTGCTATATAAAAAATTTTGAATATGCGCATTCACACTACTGATATAACAACAGGCTTCTTACCTACAAAACTAAATACACCAATTTTGTTCACGTGCCACAAGGTTTGTACCCACTCATGACAAATTAGACTTCTCACATGGAAAACTTTTAGTATATCACTATAGACAAAAGGAAAGTACATAAAAATTAGTGACTCTTTATGGCATGCAGGAATCTGCACAGCTCTTTACAAAGATCTCTCTAACAGGCTAAAAAAATGTCTACTACCAAAACAAAACTAAAGTGTATTTTTTGCTCAAATAACTGTGACACTATCATAGGTATATATGTTGATGACCGTATTATTATTGGAGACCACATCAAATTTATAGAAAATATCTTAAAAAAGAATATAAAATTAACAAAGTCCTTGGAATCGACATAAAAAATAATAACCCTCGAAATTTGAAAAGAGATTAAATAGGTAAAAAACTTCAAATATGTAATAAACCCCCTAAAATAATAAATGACGGTCCTCCGGCTATCCTTCCCCTCCATTTTTACTATTAAAACCTTCACACGCTGGTATTTAAACCTTTATGCTTTTGGAAATTAACTGTACACAGGTATACATAATAAGGTACAGATTTACGGACGAGACCAAGACGAAAGCTCAGAAAAAGTTAAGAAATTTATTTTAAGCGAATGTTACTTATATGCTAATAATTTAGTGATAAAACAAACATTAAAACAATCAGAAGAATTGCCTAAAATGGCAATTTGCGTAAAAAATTATGAACTGGGATCTTTTTTCAATCTATAATTCTTTCAGTAAGTGTTACATAAAGCACAAGAACTCAATGTGCGCCTTGCCTAGAAAAATGACTTTTATTCTTTAGGTAATAGAGTACTTTCGCTTTTTAGCTTCTTTTAGTGGTTGTAGTTGACCAAAGATCATTAAAGCAAGTATTACGGCAACACGAGAGGTCATTAGTTAACTAGAGAGAAGAATTGAACCACAGACAAAATTTGCCACTCCAACTTTTAAAAAAATAGGCTGCTTCCTTAGAAAACGCCTTTATCTAGATGGAACTTCATATTATCAAACATATTTCGTCCTTGATTTAACAAGTATAACTTTGTTAACAGAATTATAATATTAGTTATACTCCTATAATTAAACAACAAAAATTTTTTATAGTATAATTACATAGATATACTATTACTTTTTTAATTACGCATTAGTATAGAGTTATAAAATAACCTACAACTATGAAGCAATACAAGCTAGCATGGCAGAGATGAAATTACCCATTGATTCTCTGTGGAAACGTACCACTTCGGATTTAAAAGTATTAGAAGAGGTGGGAACCATAAACTTTTTTGTAATGTGACTGGATCAAGTGCGAAGGTCTGATTTGTATCAAATGAGGAGCCTTATGCCACCCTCTACTATCTGGTGGTGTCCAATAGCGATCATCCTTTAAGCCCTCTGCTGAGGTCGGATAATTATATTAAACTTAGGTCAAACATGGCTAACTTCCGACTTGAAGCTTGGACTCGCTAACGGATTAATCAACCAACCTAAGATCGTGATTATGGTACCTTCCTGACTGGAGCTCTGAGTTGGGGGCTTAATTTTCCTTAGGAAAGGCGCAGGTCGCAATAGCTAACCAACGTATGACAACTTAAAGACGCGCGGATCGAAAGATCTTCTTTTAAAATTGACAAAAACTGATACTTGGATAGAGTCTTGAGGCAGGTTCTAGCTCACCTGCAGTCCAATAGTGTTCAGTTTAGCTGACTTAATTGTCACGAGAATTGATCGCTAGTTGAATGACTATAGCTTCTATACCTTTACGTATTGGAGCTTCGCTTTGAGTACTGCATTGTCTTTCGGAGATGCTCCTTTGTGAAAATAAATGAAAGAGCTGCTAAGTTGCTAGATGAAACATTTGTTTTGTGAACAGCAAAGACAAAAGCAAACAGAATGAATATTCTAGCAATGAGTGATGTTTTCTATAGTCTGTTCCTTTTATCCAAAGGATACATACTTAGTGGTACCTTTTCGCTAGGTATGTAGTATAGCATTAGTACTATTTTGTAGCTATTTGTAGCATACGTCGCGGCTTTTGACTCATTGCTTGGGTTGTGACTTGTGTTATTGAGACCTACTTAAAAGTATTAGTACTATAATCTTTGTTGAAAGTCTGATATTTGACCCTTTAGATATTCCGATGCAGGAAGTGAACAAACTACTTCAGAGTTTGTTGGTCTTAATAGAAGGGGTTGAAAAAATTACCGTGAACAAACAAGATGAGACATTAGGACACAGCACAGGAGCATCCTGAGGTCTTAAGTTATAGAATTAATTTTTAAAGTTTTTGGAAATAGCTCCAAATATGGGTCCTATTGGGAGCCTAGAAGACTACATGAAAGAATATAGAAGAAATATAAAAGTTTTAGCTTTTTTACTTTAAAAAAATCATTAAACTCATTGCTTGTCACCCGTCTTAGGCCATCTCACGATAATTTTCTAAATTTTTTAGTTGACTTTAATATTTTAAAGGTTGTTGATTAACTAAAAAGTATATTTTTGTAGGAGACCCATAAATTGTTTTTCCTATCAACTTTTCCTTATGAAAAAAGGCTCTATTAATTTTTGGTCTGGGTTTAAGCTGAACTGCGATGGTGAAGTTGAGCTCTTATATGCCTATGTTTTAGGTCCGTTCGTGTACCTTTTAAATTAGTTAATTTTTTCTCTTCCTTTTATTCAATTTTATATAAGTTGTTAGATGTATATTTTAAAAAATACTTCCATTTTTAAAATCTACTAAGGTAGTTTTACCACCAAGTAATCTGTTTCATATTTTTTTGTTGATATTTCTATTAGTAGTAGTTTAAATTTTTTTTAGTCGTTCATATTACATACCTTTGTTTATGCCTTTTTTCTTAGCTCTCTAAGTGTTCTTTCTATTTAGTGCTCTTTCTCCTTTTTTTCATAGAGATACAACATTTTGCAGGCGTAATTAGTGCAAAAAAAACTTATAACCTTTCAAATATTTAATATTTCTTAACTATTATTTGCATATTTGTAACTTTAGGAAAAATAAAGGTTTTTTAACGTTCACTTTTTTAATTTGAAAGTTAGTGAAATATAAAAAATTATTAGTTTCTGTGATTATTTCGAAAAAATAAAGACCTAAGCTAAACTTTAAAGGGTTTCCAGAAAAACTATAGGTGATTGTGTAGCTTACAATTTACAATTATTTCGTAAAGTGTAATACTTCTAAAGTACTAAAACACTAAAGTCCCGTTCAAACCTAAAAAGGATACCACTTAGGTTATTACAATAACCAGATTTTGTAAAATCTTCTAACCAAGATTAATTGATTTACCTAATTCTAACTTAAATTTAAAAAAAAAAAGTAAAAAAAATATAAAAATAAGATACACTACAGAAGTTTGGCTTTATAGTTAAATTGAATAACGGCGTTATTGGGTAATAACTATGTTTTTACTACTATTATAATAAAATTGTAAAAATAGTTTGAAATCTTATAGTATATAAATAGAGTTATAGATTTTCGCTGACTATAAAAATGTTTTATTGATAATGAAACCTGACTCATAATAATTTTATCTGCAGGGACCGAATAACAAGCCATAGGAGTGCGTTCTTAGTATTTTTGTAAAACAATTAAACCCTCAAAACTCTTCCACAGCCAAACCTAACTGGAAAGAGACCTAAAAAGCCCTTGTTATATGGCATAGACTTTTAGTTTTACTCCACGTTTGATTAATTCTTCTTCCTTCTCTAGGCCTTTAAATTATATTTGTTTCTTTACCAGGCCTTTTTTGGACAAGAAGTCGCCGATTTATTTATAAAGCACTCTCGGTTCGTGTTATTGATTTAACATTGGACTCTTTTGGGATGGACTATCACTATCTATTAAATGTTGATAGCTTATTGGGTGCTTTTAATATTAAAGAGTTTGATAAGTTAAAAAGTGGGTAGCCCGGTAAAGAGTAATATATTTTTAATGTAGGCGCCCTGCTAGTTCTTCCTTGATAGCGCCATTCGTGACCCATATAAATATTTCAAGTTGTCTAGCTCGTACTTGTAATCTCGAACTTACAAAAGCGACGGTGTTAGGTGACCTCCTGAATGAGAGTTTCACAACGTTTACGTCGTTGATATTGTTTTCTAGAGAAAAAAAATGGGGTGTGGGTGTACTGATAAGATTTATAAGTTCTGCGAACCTGCGTTTTATCACTTTAAAAGCTCTGAATCATAACGAAATAATCTTGCTGGACCTAATCTTGGAAGGCCTTCTTGTACATTTAAATATGGACGCTTAATTTGTTAATAGGGCCCTGTGAATATGGTGAGTATAACTAAAATTTTAGAGCCCAAAGGGCCCTATATACCAAAGATTTCAAGATGAAAGGTGACATTTTTACAACTTCCCATATATTATCCAATTTTTATTGTTTGCTTCGTTCAGCCGGACACAACATTAGACAGAGCATATCATAATATTTAAAACCCACGACTCGCCAGTGTAAGAAAGAAAGAGTTATAACTGGCAACGAAAACTTTTGCTGGCAATGTAAAGGTTATGTTTCAGGTTAAGCCTATATAATCAATAAAATTGGGTGAGGGTGTGAAAACTCTTGTTATTAAGGGGCAGGCTGCCCTAGTCATATATGGAAAGTCAACAAAAATATCCTAATTCTGCTGAAGTAGCTATGGAGAAAATATTAGTGTCATAGTTGCCTATTTTTGGCTCTGCGAGCTTCTCAGCTATGTCCGCTTACCCCAGGCTACCGCGAATTAACACGCGCATCGCACTTTGAACCGCCAAAAAAACCCGAAATTATTAACTTAGTATCTACGGATTACTTAAAACACTTGCTAGTTTTATCAATGATAGGACGTAAAATCGTTGAAAAGCAAAACACTTTTCCTCTCATCAAGGCAAAGTCGCTATTTCCACCTCTCCCCCTAGGGCACGAAGAAGCCGTGAAATCCTCAGGTGGGGGTCATAAACGACAACAAATCATCGTGGCAACAATATGGCGCGTAAGAAGTAACGATATTATAACCAAAGTAAAGATTATAACATTCAGCACTACGTATAAACTAAAACAATCTCTTGATGGTGCGTCATATTTTGTGTGCAACAAAAAAAAAACTCTTCTTCATGATGATCTAGGTATTACAAATGGGTAACGTGCATTTAAAGCATCAATGGGCTCAAGAATTTTCATAAACGTCCTGGACAGGTTGGCGACATCGGAGCACCTTTTTCTTCATTTTTCTCTATGTTTAGTTAGATTAGTATGGGTAGCGAATTACAAAACATTGCTATCCAACAAAAGCACGTGCATCTAATTTTATGTTTTTTTTAAATGTATATGAAACCTTTATCAAGGGTCAGGACTGGCCTTCTTGTTGTTTAATCCTCATGGTGAGTGTGTGAAGCGCTACCTAGTTTTTATAAAACCTTTTTTTTTTTAAATTTTTAAAAACAGGTTTAATTTATACCAAGTATGAAGATGAACAGAACATCAAATTAAATTTTTTTGGCAAAATAAAACTCCCAATCTTGGATTTAAAGACAATCTTTTCTGAGTATATTAATTATTTTCCTAATTAAATAGATTTCACTAGAGCATACAGAGCAACAAAAGAAGATAAAAGTTTGAGAATAATTGCGAAGGCACATAATTTTGGTTTAAATATTTTTAGATTTCTCAACACCCCTCAAGGGCAAAAATTATTTATCTAGGTACTGAGCCCTAGCCAAAATAATCCCTCGTGTGAAGAAAGGAGCAGTTTACACATTTTTTGTAAACTAGTTCACGCCTGTGCTTCGTGAAAGCCTTTGCTTCCCGTCAGCTTTTCGTTGCCTTTTCTGGTATAGTGTGTAATAATTTTAGTCTGGTAATAATCTGATTAAAAAAACTTTTTTTTTATGTATGCTTGTGATGTATTATTTCTTATTTGACAAGGTCTACTTGAGTGAGACTATTATTGTCATAGTTACTCTGAAGCTTAATATATAACTTCTGATATTACTTGAAGCTTTATTATTTTAAATACTTAAAAATTATTAATATGTACTAAAATATAGTTAACCACCGGCGTTAAATTCCTTGAACGCTGCAAAACTTTGAAGTTGGAATACGTGTTTAGAAAATGTGCTAATTTTTGCGTGGCGATTGTAATTTCTATTCTTTTTACTTTCGTATAACTTGAACGGAAATGATAGTAATTTATAATCTGTCAATCAACCGAAAGTCACGCACTTTCTGACGATATTTTTTTTTGATCCTTTAAGTTAAAATTAATTATATTGAAAATCAATTGTTTTAGGCTCTCAGTAATATTTTAAATAACTTTTTTTAGTTGCAGAATGGGGCCCCTGATTGAGTGCGAAGTAAAGTTTAATAAATTTTTTAAGGTTTACAGGCGTCACTATATTTTTACGCATTTTTATAGTTAATAAAGGAAATGCCAGACCTATTTATTTCTTTTTTATAATAGCATCCCATTTCCGCTTGTATATTTCTGAATGGGTTACGCACAAAGACCTTTAAACACAAGCCAAATATCATAGCCGATATATTTATTAGCGCTTTACTATTAATACTACTCCGCCATTATTTGAGCTTGGTAGGGTTTACAGCCTTTATCACTTGCTACGTTTATAGTTTAAGGAACGTTTAACCTTAGTTAAACTAAAAAGCTTTGCGCTGAAAGGGACGCTTATTAAAATTTTGTAGGTCGGAAATAAGAACCTTCACTTCGTTGGTAATGACTGTTGTAGCCTTAAAACAACAGTGAAGTTAATTTTTCTATAGCTAAACTAATTTTTAGATAAAATTGATCTTACCCCGGAGAGTGCAGAAAATGGATCCCTAATCTCTTATCTCTTGAAAAAAATGTTTGAATTATTTTATGTTACTAATAGTTGTTTTGCATTTTCTTATTTTTTAATCCTATCGTTTTATATTACTTTATTATGTTATACAAATATAAAACGCTAACCTGGTTCTCTAAACGGGGCTCATATTCCCCTCTTATGCCAACCCACTCCAATTCATTATAATTTTGCAAGAGTTCACAGCACTTTATTTTTTTTAAATTTTATACAAACATTTTTATTTTATCCAAGTTATTTTTCTTTTATAAATAACTTTGCAAACGCGAAGTTGTCTGATAAAATTGCAATTCTAGCCTTCGGGAAAGAATTTTAACAACACGTAATTGTCTCCTATTACTCCTATTACTTCTTTTTTCTAACCTTTTTATTAGTTATTAAGTTAGAGACCATTTTCTATTAGACATGTTATCGTTTTGTATTTTATTTTTGTTATCGTGTTATCTTTAACTCAGATCTAGCGAGTTCAACAACTTACAACAAAATGCGTTGTATTTAAGTATAATATCTTATGGTGGTATAAACTTTTTTTTTAAAAAATTTTTAATTATAATAAAGAAAACAATGCCTGTTTGGGCTTTATGCGTATTGTTTAAACATGTGATAATATCTACCCCCATTATCTCATTGGTGCCCGATTTTATTTCGGCTTTTTTAACTCTAACAATTAAACTAGTGTTCGCTTTTAATACGTATTATCGTCTATTCTGTGTTGCGCGAATCAAGAAGGTTTTTATAGATGCGGCCTGTGCACCTGTAGTTTTGCTAAATAGTCTTTACTATAACTTTTTATTTATTAAACATTTGAAATCTTCAAACTTGGTTAACTACAGAAGAGCTAAAAAGTTCACTTCTAACAAGCTGCCAGTTTGTTTAACACTTGGACCCCATGGACTCTCTCTCACTTGGAAGTCAATTTATGAAAGACATGCATATAACTGGTTATCATTGGGGACTCCTATAAGAGCTAGCAGTTGAAAAGTTGTAACCAAAGGATCTCAAAAATTATCCTTTCAAAAATTGCAATTTAAAGTCGAAAGGGACCTCACGGCAATCTTTTTTTAACATATAATAACGCTACTCTTTACTTCTGCCGAAAAGAAGTCTAACAAATCGCATGAAATACCTAACAGGAAACAATTAACAACAAAACACAAGACTACAATATATTTTTAACTCAAATAATAGTACATCAAATAGTTAACAAAACCACAACTACTACCCTACAGCGAAAAATAGACAATAAAATTACCCATAAACTAGTATAACAAAAGACGATCATAAAATGCAATAGACTCTAATGAATATAAGCGAAAGGCAACCGAAAATATAAAAATTACAAAAATAAAACAAATTGAAACAGAGAAACCTCAATTAAAACTCTCGCAGAGAAGGTAGTCCATAAATAAACCAATAAGTAAACAGTAATTTAAATTACAAAAAAACAGGAGCGGAAAAAAAAAATTTAAATACACAAAAGCAATAACTTAATCCATTATTTTTTATATTGATATAAATTAAACAAGGTAAAAATTATTAAAATTAATCTGGTAAAAAATAAATTAATTTTACAAGCATGGAAATGATGTTTGGATCTTTGGTAAGGGTATATAAATACGGTGAAAAAGCTGAGAAATTAAATAGAATTGTTCTAAAATCCCTTATTATTTTGTTCCTACCTCAGGTAGTGCTAAACTAAAAAAAGACACCATAAGTAACTACAACAACGATGATCTTAATATTAATAATAACAGCAATAACAACAATAATCTTGATAGTCTACTAACAATAATAGCAGTAGTAGTAAACAAATTAGTGATAATACTCGTACAAATAGTAACGAATACAGTAAATTCCATAATAGATAAATTACTAGTAACGGCTCTAAAAATTCTATGTTACTAGTAACAGCACCAATTATGATATAGACGAAGACTCAGATAGTCTGTTAGAAAGCATGAAAACAGTCGTTGTCAGTGTTATCATTGTCTTCCCCTTTAACACCTGGTGTAATTTAAACCCTGATGAAAAAGTTTTATGCAAACGACTTTTTAAGATGGGAGCAATTCCCCTACTTACCATGTAAACTAAACCAACAACATTTAGGTCTGTACAGTCAGCGCCTATTCAAAAGTTTATATCTTTTAATAAAGGAATACCTGTTTTACATACCGCTCCTTGGTTAGAGTTATAAATAATGCTATAGCAATCAATTAAAAGAATCTTTTCTACTTTAAACATTAAACCTTTGAACTTTGAGGTTGAATGGCCCGACCGGGGGGTCTTCATATTGAAGCTTAATGAGCATTAACGATATTGAGGCCATCACTGATATAAAGTGCAATGACGAAAGAAAACTTGCGTGCCCATGACAGGTTATTACCTTAATTATTGACCCCAAATTGATAAATATAGTCTGGGAGGTTGAGAAAATCATTTAATCAGACCCATGCTGAACCCGCATGCACTGCGGAGTGCTTTGTATCACAAGTTTACTGTGATAGAAGCAGTAATGCTTCTTGAATTAGAAGAAGAATTAGTTAACATTATAAAAGGTGACAAGGGGTGAAGACTTAAGATTTTTTAAGAATAAACCAGTTTCAATCAGAATGTCGTATTAAATAAAACTCTTACTGATAGGCTAAGTCTAACTGAGGCAATGGAAAGCTACCATCTCTTGGGAGATGACGATGAAACAATGCCAAGAAAATACAGCTGAAATAGAACTTAAATTGAGTAAGGCCGACTTTAGTCAGAAAGTTTCCATCTCTTTATAAAGTCAAGTACGTGGACTGATTCATGTAAGCACTGCTGCAAACTTTATTATTTGTAGAGATCAATGTTTAGGATACAATAATGAAAATTTTTGCAGCTAACGTAAGAGAAATGACTTTACCTTCAAGAAGGTTTAAAAAAGCAAAAATAGGACTCTGAAAATAATTAAAAATGTGATATCGCATTAGGTCATTACCAAGAAAAGGGCGTGTACACCAAGCCTGAATTTTCCAAGTCTATCGATAGTATAGACCTTGAATCTGGCGTTAGTTGTCCGTTTTTAACAATAAAAAGTTATTTAAAAGTAGATCAGGGCTTAATAGGTTACTAAAAGCCAGGGCGCCCTCATCGCTTAGATGGGAAAGTACTACATGTAGCATAAGTTCCGGGAATTTAGCCAGTGTTGGCTTGAGTTATGAAAAAAAAAATAATAATTATGTTTTTGGCTCTGAGGGAACAAGCACTTGAAACGGAAGGTCTACCTCCCAAAGGAAGGAAGGAATTTTATTGTGATGGATAACAGAAATGGCAACGGTTTTTATTGACTGAATGAGAATTATGCGCGCGACCTTGAGCCATATAAACGTCGACAAGTTAGAACTTCCTAAAAATTACAACCTGGGTGTTATCATAGAAAATTACGCTGTGATGTGAGTGTCAAATGAAGTTAAATAAAAAACAATTTTACTTACGATTCAATATGTCCAGGATCACCCCTGGATTTAAACCTTCATGAACCTCGGCCATAATTAGTAGAAAGGTCAGTTTATGGGTTGACAGTTGTTTGCAAAAGTACAAGGTTCGCTTGTTCAAAATTACTTTGAAGGTAAACTACACATGTATTTCTCTGTTTTAATGACATAACATTTGGTTACGGTTACAAAATTAAATGTAAACATTTGAATAACGGAGCTGAGTTTAATAGTGCACAGTTTAAATATAAATGTTACGAGCGCATATACTTACCGATCCCAATGTACCTCTCATAATTTCCCTGCTGAACGCTACAAAGCTATCCAGAGAGCATGTCGCCTGTGGCATTTTTGTTAACGTTTCCTCGAAAGTTGGAAAAATTTTATAGAATAAAACCGGAAATTGGTAAGTAATAACTTTCGGTTTACAGGTTTACTACATGTAAACAAAATGATATGACCCTGCACTCAAAAGAAGGTTTTTTTTGGGGCCCACTATAGACACCTGTGGCGGATGCATAAGTATTCATGACATATCTTTTTATAGAGCTCTCAAGTCTAGGAAATTATGAATATAAAAGCCCAAGCTCAACTAACGTTTCATCAAAGTCCTCGACTCACCCGTTAACAGAACTTTTCAATTTTAGACCTCAAAATGGCTACAAGAAATGTCATGGCATACAGACCCCAAATTAAAAGGTTATAACAGCTTAGTTACTCAATTTGCGGTCTTATATAAGGACAGTATTGCTGTACTAAAATATAAGTAAATATATAAGTAGGAGCGGGGTTGAAGTGCTCCATTGTTTTTTTTCAACCCACGAAAAAAAAGAAATTAGTTGGTTTCCTGAAGCTATTAGGGTAAGTTAAAATTTAAAAACGGGGCATCTCCCTATGTAAGTTGACTTAAAGGAAGGAGTGGGAATAGAATTTAACAAATATGGTGGAATAAGGGAATTAAATTATATAATACACTGACATTTTCTGTTCCTTTCAGCCCAGTAAAGACAATGAAAGTGGGGCCCCTAGTCCTTAAAAACCTCCAGTACATGGAAAATTTTAAAAACGCCTTTAGGTTAGAAGTTAAAACGAACTACTTGTAAATACACAATAAAGGATGGCGTTAGACTTAAGTCTAGGCTATGTGTAATAAGATTTACACAGCTATAAAGAAAGGATTTAGTAAATTGACTTCTCCCGTGGTGTCAAAAGAAACCGTAAGACTAACTAAAATCTACTCTTATAATAGCAACCTGGAACCTATACAGACTGATGTGAGAAACGGATACGTTCACAAAGATATGAACTATAACATATTTGTTTCTTTCCTATTGGACCCAATTTAATAGGGCCCAATAGCGGTAAATACTGTTTGCAATTATAAAAGGTCATTTGGGCACAAACCAAGCAGGATTACTTTGGATTAAATATATTGTGTACAAAGTTAAAGAGATATGATCATCGCAAAGGAATCAAAACCCTGAGTATATGTAAATTTAGGCGAAAATTTTTAAGCGGTTAAACTTAGCTAGGTTGACGATTTAAAGGTTTATTCTAATATCCAGAGGGCTCGATACCGTAGAGACAACTTATATTTTTTTTTTGAAAAAAGTTTCCACAAGCTTCTTTATTGTAATAAATTAAGTATCCTCCACTGGTCTTCAAAATGAACTAAAGGGATTATAGTCACATTTTTTTTAACTGCGAGATGGAAGATTGCAAACCAATAAATACCACTAAACGAGGGACTTGACCTACAGTAGAACATTACCTTTGACTGCCATTAAAAGGAACTAGCAAGATCCCTAAAGCTCTTAGCGTGCTGTACAAGACCGAATACTCAAAATACCGTCAAATGCACGTGAATGCCTACTGTGTGAAGCATTGGAAGGCAGCAAAATTGATATTAGAATATTTAAATCGAGCACCAATTTCCGCCTTAACGCAATATAAGGGAATAAACTCAGGTTAATAAACCCATTGACTGAATGCTAAAGCTGTCGCCAAAGGCGCCACTGTTAAATATGTTAAAAGAATAAAAACTGATTTAAATGAACTTGTGTTTTAAATTTATTACCCATTAGCAATGAAAGTAGACAATCAACCTTTAATTCACACTGCTTATAACAGAAGAGGTACCAAAACTTTACGCCAAATAGATTTAGAGTATTCCAACTACCAAAACGTTAGCGGAAATACTACACGATTGATGGGTGAAATCATTAATAAAAGTAGAAAAAGTATCATGTTGACAGAGCTCCCTAATTGGGTTGAGTTGACGAGGAACGTGAACAATAACATCCTATCACAAATTATTTACGTGACACCGCATGTCGCGGCTTACTTTATGGAACTAGAATTTAAACACTTGCTCACGATTTAAATCCAACTGGTAGCGGTGGCGGTTTGGATTAATCAAAATTGACTAATCTTATAGTAGACCATAAAAGCTAACTTACAGCCCGGAATTAGATAACTTTATTTGTTTTAAAGACCTCCCTATAGTGCGCCTGCACTGGTCTGCTAGTCGATTTCATAAATATATTTTCCCTTATAAAAAATTTCAGCTGCAATTTCTTTCTTTCAGGTTTTAAAAGATACTTGAAGAAGAGTGAAAAGGGAATAAATCACAAATTTGCTAGCCTTGGCTGCTCTTTACGAACATGGCCCCTTTACTACTGAAATAATAAGTTACCTGTATAAGTTAGACTTTTGTATAACTGATAGAGAATGACAAATATAAAAAAACCAGAAGTTTAAATATAGTAGAGATTGTTGACAGCTCTTTTTGTTTAATTGCTAATTTAATACCAACGAGTTCTCCATATGCATCATGCGGAAA